AAAATACTGCTTTCTTTTCTAGTGATTCCTCTCTAGTTGATCTGGTGAATTGCATTTGAAGGCCAAAGGAAAGTGAGTTAGGAGAGAAGGATGGGTATATTTTGTAATGTGTCTCTCCCCTGAAAAAATAATTATGATATATCTGAATCCTTTTTCTTTGGTCACCTCTTTGGATTAGTGCTTGCAAATGTACTTCGGGCTTTTACCTAAATTCTGTAATCATTCCAGACAAAGTCTTTATTGGGAGAGGCTGGTACCTCTTTCTAATAATATTTTTTTTGTTCTAGATTCAGATGAAACTTGGGTTTATAGCAAGGAAGCACTAAAGAACCGGCACAAGGGTTCTTGCTAAAAGCCAAAAGTTAAGGTAGGAAGGGATAAAAAAATCCTACCTGCTGATGCTGTGTAGGATCTGGAAAATGTCTGCACTTTTCCTACCATTCAAAGAGAAAATTACCCATCTTTGAGGAGGGAGGAAATGTCTCCTTCCCCTCTCTGTGCCCCGTGTGGATGTGACTAGTCAACCTACTACAGGGAACTATTTTTATTACTCTCTCATCTTGCAATGGACAGCTCTCATGGAGCGGGAAGCCTGGGGAGGGTCTGTTCCTGTCTCTCCCATTGTAGTGCAGCTAAAGCTCTCCACTCTCTAGACTAGCTCTGAAAAAGGATTTACAGGTAGTTCATCTGCTAGGTCACTTAACCCCCATTTTCACAGTGATCTGGGGAGCAAAGTGTTATTCACAAGCATCTTGAACAGTAACCCTGTTTTGAAGTGACAAAGCACACACACAAGGACTGAGCTGTTTCCACAGCTGTTTATCAGAGGAAAGCAGACAACTTGTTGCTGTCAGCATTATGTGCTCCAAGAGCATGGCTTAATGTGGTTTTGGTTGGGTTTTTTTATGTTTTGTCAGTGTTTGTACAAAACCTTGTTTTATCCTGCCCATTAATAATGATAAAAAAAGCCCTAGCGGTACCTGCAGGATTGCTCTGTGAAGTCTGCCTGCTTCTGTGAGAAACAAAAAATGCCAAAAGGCAAACCTCAAAATTTCTAATTGGAAGTACTCTAGATTTCTTAAAGAGGAGAGTTAGCCTGTTTGTCTTGCTCAGGTTTTAAGTGAGGGGCGCATGGTTTTCTGGTGACACATTGCAGCTGCCTTTCGCGTTGGTGAGCCTGCTGAAAATGCAGCTGCTGTGAGCTAGAAATTTGACGCTTCAAAATCTCAGGTCTGCTTTGCTTCATGTAGGCCAGAGACCAGAGGATGTTGTTTCGTGGCTTCCTGGCACAAAAGGACAGTCTCAGTGTGAAAGTGGTTAACATCATCACCAGACGCAGCCAGTGGTTTCACAGTGTGTTTTTTCATGGGGAAGATTATTTGAGTGAGTTAACAGCAGCTGCGTTTGACAGCAGTGCTGTGCTCCTTTGCTGCTGCTGTGTGGTACTTCCAGCTGTTGCCAGATCCAGTGCGAAAAGTTGAAATTTCAGTGATCCCTTCAGTTTCTCTAACCTCTCCCTTTTCGCTTCTCATAGATCTCCTTCCACCAGGAGTCTGCAATCTCCTCAACCCGGCCGCTATCTATGCTAACAACGAGATCAGCCTGGGAGATATCGAGATATATGGCTTTGACTACGACTACACATTAGCACAGTATTCTAATTTACTACACTCTATGATTTTCAACACTGCCAGAGACATCCTAATAGAACAATTTAAGGTAACGATGTGCTAAGAATTTCCCCTTAATTAAGCTTAATGCTGTCTTTGCAACACCTCAGACGTGCTTGTAAAGTGCCACATTGTGTGCATGTGTCAATTACTTGTTTTTTTGAGATAAATTTCATGAGTCACAGTCTTTGATTGTGGAAAGTTTTGTCTGTGTGTGGAATTAATTTCCTTTGAGACAATTTACCATGCTCTACATTCCTGAGGTTTAATAAGTATGGAGCAGGAACCTTAGTCTAGAAAGGTCTGGTCTGTTTTACTTAACTATGGAAATAATGCCTACAGAATTGCTGGTTCGAGGTACGCATGATGGATAGTCATGAACCGTGGGCCAACATTGAAGCCGTACGAGACTTGACATGCACAAGTCAATGTGGATGGCGCTGTGTAGCGTGTCCAGTAATGGACACCCTGTTTGCAATAGGTGACTGGTCTGTGCATTTTCTTCTTGTCATGTGTTTCTTTTTTAGAGGGGCTCTGCCGAGCCATTGCTTTGCCAAATAAATGCATTGAATAGAGCTTACTAGAAGTGTCCTCACTGCCTGGGTGAATCTGTTACCTTTTCACTAGTGTCCCTTACATGAGAGAAACTAGTTTTGGGGATTCTGATCCTTTATGTCTCTCTCTATTCATCCACTTTGTTGAAGGGACAAAATGAAGTGCACCTGTTCCTTGGTCAGTTTATGCCTGGGGTGAGACGACTGGTAGGACCAAGCCAGCTCAACAGGTGAAATAATTTTGTTGATAACTCAGCACTTGTGCCTCTAATGATGTCACTGTCTTCCCAGTATCCAGAAGGGCTTGGGAGGTATGACTACATTCCAGGGTTTGCCATACGTGGACTTCACTATGATGTACAAAAGGTAAGTTGTACAAAGTTCAGTCTCCTGGGCTTTGTCTTCCATTGCATTATGGTTTTAGTGGCAATGCTTTCTGTCATTGCTTGCAATAACATTGATCACCAAACTATCAGTGAGTTTGGGTGGCTGTGCTTTTCATTGCATGGGTTCTTCTTGCTTATAAACCTTCCAAGAGAAAGATGTCTTTTGTGTATGCATAGCCTCTCGTAGAATGGGACATTCTAGTGAAGACCTCTGGTAAACAGCCTTGCCAATTTAAGTGTCCGTTAATTCCACAAGCTAATTAATAGAAAACTCAGCTTGTTTGTGTGATCATTTCTGCCGTTCAGGAAATTTAAACAACAAACCTCGATCCTGCATCTACAAATACTTGCCAGGAACAGAGGCTTTATGTCTTACTCTATTATTAGAAATGACTTGTTAGGAGAATGCTTTAGGAAGCCTTCCCCACCCCCCACCCCGAATAATAAGGCTGCCTGGAAAAAGATCCGAGCTACTTGAGATGCATGCTTCTTGGGAGCACAGGCAAGCAAAGTGCAAGCATTAGCTTTAACCCTTTTTCAGTGCTTTGGACCGATTCCCTGAAAGCCTGATGCCCAGTGATGTCATGCTGGCTGCTGCAGCCAGGCAGTCAGGTTAGAGCACCGCAGAGAAAATTGCTTCACTGTAGTGGCTTTTCTTATACTGAGCTTTGAGCAAATTCAGGGAAGCAGGCAGGACAGACTGGAGTGTGTGTGTTGTTCTGCCGCAGTGGGAAAAAAAAAAAAAAGAGAGAACAACTCAAAAAACAGTATAGAGTTTTCCTGTGTCTTTTGTCTTGACTGCAGTGACAGCATGGCAGCAGACCACTCATGCCTCTGACTTTACAAAGTTAGAAGTAGATCTGTGAGAAACTGAAGTTTCTTTCTCTATGTAAGTCTCTGGCTGATATACCAGAGAAACACAGAGGCAACTAGCCTAGCCAAGCAAAGCGCCCTTTGAGTGAGTAGGAGGTGAGACTCTTTTGTTAGTATCAGAGTTTGCAAAACTGGGTAGTGCCTGTCTAAGTAAATCTTTCAGTATATTTCCCTGCACTCCTCACAAACGAGTGAGAGGTCTGCCCATGGTGTAACAAGCTGCACTGATACAGCGTCATGATAACAGAAGGTACCTTAAGCTTTTGAATGCTTTGTGGAACCAATTACCTTGCACTGTGGTAGAAACAGCACAAATAGTTTGATACTGTGTCGTTATTCAAGTTGCGGAGTGATGTGGGTTAGTGTGAGGCTGTTTTCCCTGCCCAGAGAACTTGTGTTACTGCTTCAGAATGGTGGATGGAGGATCACTCATGAATAGGGGGGTCTGATACAAAAAATGCAAAGAAAGCTCTAATGTTACCAGCCTGCTGTGCTTATGAAACACCTTTGCTTAAATGTCTATTGGGGAGGGGGAGAAATCGTGGAGGGGAGAACTCTTGTGTGAAGAAAATTACTCGGTGCAGCTGTGCTCTAAACCAAAACTTGCCCACTTAGTTCTGCTTAAGATAAATGTGACAAGAAATAGATCTCTTGTGCACATAAAGCTCGTTTGGAGTGTGTGCACTTTTGGGAGGGAGATAAGAAGAGACTGTCTGAGTCACAGAAATATTTTTCTCTCTGTTTTTCAACTGCACCCCTGTCCACAAACTTTGGAGTGTTACAGACAGTGGTATTTTGGCTCATAGAAACATGGTCTTTTGCAGAGAGGCAAATAAAAAAGTCGCAGTATAAATAAGTGTGTGTAAAAGTGGATGGAGAGTAAGTGCAGCTTAAAATACAGAGATATGGGATATTTATATTGAATTTTATTTTCTAGATGTCATTTGTGTGGTACTTGAAATTTAAATAAGGTTTCAGTGTAAATCTACACAATTCTAACAGTAAATATCTGTCTCTTATCACAGAGTCTTCTCATGAAGATTGATGCTTTCCATTATGTCCAGCTGGGGACAGCATATAGGTCTGTCAGTTCTGAAAATCATTTTCTAAATGCCCGTATGTGCAAAGGTGGATTACTGAATCTGAGTATATGTTCATGGCATATGGGTTTGTTTTTTTTTTTTTTTTGAACAGAGCACAGTCTCGTCTGGCTTATCCTGTTTGCGCTTGCTTCAAATGCTTACCTCTCATATAATTGCAGGGAGTTATTTTTCTCAAGCATTTCAAGCCAAGTGTGGGTGGGAAGACCTGGAGCTCTTTGTAATGGTTGATAACACATCTGGTCATGTACGCTGCGTAATGTCTGAGTTGCACCTACAGCATGCCTGGGTTAACGTCTGTGACCAAACAGTGCAACTTGGAAAGGACTCTTTTGGATATGGTCCACATACAGGCCTGTCTTCTCCAGGCAGGAGTATATGCCAGCAGTGGTCTGCTGCGCCTTGTCACAACGCTAAGAGGAGAATGGTCTGGATGTGCAAATAAAATCTTAAAGCAGTGGAGACATGTCAATAAAGTAATGATGCATCAGAATCTGGGCTCAGTTTAAGGCCTAGGTTGTCCTATTTTCCCTTCTCTTCTGTTGTTCTCCAAGGAGAGCTGGGTGTCCTTTGGAATAAGTGATTGAAACAGTGCAGAGCAAAGTTTTCTCCAAAAAGTTGTGAGACTGGAGACTGGGAGAAAACCTTGGCCCAAAGTAGAGTAGGATTGGTGTGTAAGAAGCAGTAATTCATAGATATCTGTAGCGAAGCTCCTGTAAATCTGTGTTGTATTTCCTGTGCATGGAAGCCAATGTTTGTTTTTTTTTCTTGAACTCTGCCCTTTTGCTGTTAAGCTTCGGTTACAGTAAACACTCTAAGAATATTAAAAAGGGAGTTTCATAATCAGAGAGAATTGGCTTCTTGGAGTTAGCTTTTGGGGGGGTGGGAAGAGGGGGTTGGTGCTGCCCCATATTTCACTTCAGCTTCATTAGGAGATTTTTAGTGAAAACACGTTTAAGCTTTATTTTCCTGGACTGTCCTTTTCCTGGACTGTCCTTTTCCTGGACTGTCCTTTTCCTGGACTGTCCTTTTCCTGGACTGTCCTTTTCCTGGACTGTCCTTTTCCTGGACTGTCCTTTTCCTGGACTGTCCTTCGCTTTTGAGCGGAACTGAGGCAACTTCTAACTTCTCAGAGGCTGTACTGTGATTAAATAGCAAAGGAGAAAGGGAAAGTTACTGACTGCTTGAGTAAACAACCATCAAAAATTGTGCAAGAGGCAAAATGTGCAGCAGTCAGATAACCTGATGTTCATGAACAGTACAGCTCATAGACATACCTGTAATTACGGTATTTTGGGGAAAAGCAGTGATCTCTGTTGAATGGTCTTAGTGAAGAATTTGATTTGCTTAGGAAAACTGAATATAAAAGGAAATGTCATATTCAGAAAGCTCTTTTCCTACACCTTTGCATTTAAAGGGGATCTACCTTGTGGAAGCAACCTCTCCAAAACTACACTTTCTCAGGGCTGCCAAAGTCAGGTCAGGGGGCCGATTTGGTGGGGCAGTCCCGTCAGCAGATTGACAGCATACAGAGGGAGGCCTCTGTCTGAACTCTCTGCAGGAATGTGGACAAAGCCCCTCAATTAACATGAAGGAGCAAATAAGGTATCTCAAAAATGTCTCGGGAAAGATTTTATGTGAATCTTAAGAAACCATGGAGCTGTCAGGCTCTCTGGCTATTGCTTTTGTGCAAGAGAAATGGGTGAATTTCAGAAAGAAACTTGTTTGTCCTATCTTCTTTTGCTGCAGTTTGTAACTCTGTGCAGACTGGTGATTATAGATGAACTATTTCTGTTGTTTTGTGTCTAGAGGGCTCAAACCAGTGCCTGATGAAGAAGTAATCGAACTCTACGGTGGTACGCAGCACATCCCCCTGTATCAGATGAGTGACTTCTATGGCAAGGTATTGTAAGCCCTTTACTGCTATGATGCAGGAGCTCCTTTAACAGCTAGGGAGACAGAGTGAATTGTATGAGCATGTAAATGACTCTAGCCTCCCTTGGACTGCAAAAGGCTCAGTCCCTAGTGAGCTGCAGTGTGTATTTTTGTTCTAGTGGGAATTTGCCCCAGAGGTTATTTAGCAGTTTAGCATGTGAAAGCCATCTGCGCAGCTTTCCTAAACACCAGGGCTATTGGCCTAGAGCTGAATGGCTCTGGAGATTGATAGGGAGATGTTCCTTGCTTGTTCCTGGCCGCATCTGGCTCCCAAGCTACCGGGGCAGCCTGCAGTGAATTGTGTGGGAAGGGGCATGTGTGTATAGCAGCAGGGGGCTTGCAATGCCTTTCTCTTTGGTTTTTGGTAGGGTTTTATTCCTTCATGAGAGGCATCTCCCCTTCACACCTCTTCGGACCTACTCAGTGGATATTATTCTGCTATTATTATTAGGGTTGGCATCCATGAGTGTTAGAGGGATTTTTTTTTTAGGCCGAAAAGCTTATTGTCACAGTTAAGGACTGAAATTCTGTCCATAGGAACTGTAGAAGTACTTTCATTGCCTGAAGCAGAGGAAGTTAGGAGAAATTTTTCTTCATCAAGTGCCTTTGTGGTGCAGTGGGCAAGCAGGGCCATTCACATGCCTTCCCTCCCAGAATGCTTTGTTTCTTGCCCTTTGTTAGTTCATTTGCCTTAGGGGAAGCTGGAAGGAGAAAGGCAGTCTTCCTCTAGTAATACCCCTTTGAGTCTGCTGTGTGAAGTCTCCAGCAAGGTCACTTTTTGATCTCTCTCCCCCTCCTCTCTCTCTCTCCCCCCTCCTCT